TGAGAGTCCGTGGAACACTTGGAAATTTTCAAACCGAATGAGCGCCGCGCTAAAGCGAGAGCCACCTTTGGAAAACCACCCGCCCTCGATCCGTGAAACTCTTGCACATGTTTGAAAAGAATGTGCGCGGCGCTGAGGCGAGAGCCACATTTTGAAAACCACCCGCCCTCAATCCGTGAAGCTCTTGCAAATGTTTAAAAAACGAATGTGCGCGGGGCTAAGGCGAGAGCCACATGTTGAAAACCACCCGCCCTCAATCCGTGAAACTCTTGCAGATTTTTAAAAGCGAATGTGCGCGGCGCTAAGGCGAGAGCCACATTTTGAAAACGACCCGCCCTCCATCGGTGAAACTGTTGTCATGTTTTAAGCTTCATAATCATAATGCTGAGGAAGTCTCAGGCGAAACGCCTGGCCCGCCCTAAAAACTGGTTTCGGGGTGCGACAGGGAGGAGTTATCTGTAAGGCGAAGGAATGAGGAGAAGGAGGAGGAGGAGGAGGGTGGACTTCGGGGAGTGGTGGATGTGGATGTGTACCAGGGAGGGAGGGAGCAGGGAGGGGGAGGAGGGATTCTGCCAACGGGTTCCTAGCTCAGCTCGCCTCGCGGCGCAGGGGCCAGGGCCACCCCGCGGAGAGATAGCGCCAGCGACGACGCGGCCCTCCCCCGCTCAGTCCCTCGGGTGCTTGTGCAAGGCCCCCAGGTTCTCCCACGTACGGCGACTCTTCGCGAGGCCGCCGCGCTCCACGAATGTGGGCTGCCAGCCCTCCGCCCTCCCCGGACGCGATCCCGACGAGGTCCGCCACGGTCTCGTCCGTCTCGGCGCCCACGTCAAAGGCCTCCCAAATCCTACAGTCGGGGCCCTGAAGAAGGAACCCTTTTGGTTGGGGAGGGGCTCCGCGTTCCTTAAGTGTTTCACAGCTTGCCTCAGGTTTCCCTTATGGCTGCGATAGGACATCGAAGTTTAACTTATGGAAAAAAGGGGCCTCGTTCCTTATTTAGGGTTCCTTAGGTCAACGCCCCGACTGTACTCTTCAGGTGATTATGCTTCCAGTTGGGGCGCTCCAGGACGGGCCTCGCCTTCGCAGGCTCGAGGGAGTTGGCCTCTCCTCCTCGGCGGAAGCTGGCAGCTGGCGGAAGGCCGGCGGAGGCCGACACGAAGTGAAAGGGGGTCGCCTCCGCCGGCGGCATCGGTCGGCAGCTCGGCGGAAGGCTGCGAAAGCACCCCTTTCCCCACCCGAGAGATGGCAATACAGTCGGGGCCCTGAAGAAGGAACCCTTTTCGTTGGGGAGGGGCTCCGCGTTCCTTAAGTGTTTCGCAGCTTGCCTCAGGTTTTCCTTATTCCCTACATAGGCTCTGCCTAGAGGGGTTCTTACTCTCTAGCTTAAAGGGGCCGGGAAGTGGAAAGCGCCCCGGGCGGTTCCCCCAGTCCCCTGGGAGCGGTTCCCCCCAGTCCCCTGGGAGCTTTAGCTTTAACTTTAGCTTTAGCTTAGCTTTAGCTTAGCTGTAGCTTAGCTTTAGCTTGCGTATCGCTTAGCTTTTCGCTTAGCGGTTGTAGCCTTAGCTATTAGCTTAGCTTTTCGCTTAGCGTTTAACTTAGCTTTAGCTTAGCTTTAGTTTAGCCTTAGCTTAGCTGTAGCTAAGCTGTAGCTTAGCTTTAGCATAGCTTTAGCTTAGCTTTAGCTTAGCTTTAGCTTAGCTTTAGCTTAGCTTTAGCTTAGCTGTAGCTTAGCTTTAGCTTAGCTTTAGCTTAGCTGTTGCTCAGCTTTAGCTTAGCTTTAGCTTAGCTTTAGCTTAGCTTTAGCTTAGCTTTAGCTTAGAATTAGCTTAGCTTTAGCTTAACTTTAGCTTAGCTGTGGCTTAGCTTTAGCCTAGCTTTAGCTTAGCTTTAGCTTAGCGTTACTGTTACTACTAATGCTGCTTTCCTAGGGGTTCCAACTCCTAGGTAGGGTCGCACTGGGATAAGGTTTTCGATGGGAAATCGAAGTTTGACTCATGGAGAATAGGGGCCTCGTTCCTTATTTTGGGTTCCTTAGGTCAAGCCCCCGATTGTACTTGTTGGAACATTTGTGGGTTCAGGGTTTCCGTATCTGGCCAGTTGATGGCGTCCTGGATCGTCGGCTCGTCGGCCCCTCCAGCTTGCTCCCCGCCTCCGGCCTCGCGGCGTCGATGGCCCCATGCGCATCGCTGGCCACTGCGACGCTGTTCCCGTTGCCCCCGTCGCCGACTGCCCACACAGTGGGCCTCCAGCTGCTCCGCCTCTAATGCCTCCCTCCCTGCCGCCTCCTGTGCTTCTTCCGGCGGACCGTCGCGCGCCAGTGCAGGTCGTCGGCCTCCGCCGCCGCCAGCTGGACGGGCTCGCCCTCGGCCGAGCCGATGGCCGCTGCGAGCATCTCCTCATCGCCCCTGAGCTTCTGCGCCCTGGCCACCCTGGCCACTTTCTCCTTGCGCGCCTCGGCCAGCGCCGGCTGCAGAGGCTCCACGACTCGTGCCCCAGCACCACAGCCGCCACGTGCCCGCGCGCTCCGCAGCTGCCAGATGCCTCCCCCCACCGGCTGCGCGCGGTCACGCGCGTCCATGCGCGCACCGCTGCAGCAAGCGCGCCTCGCCATGGAGCAAGCGGGTCTGGAGGGAAGCGGGCCCTGAGATTTGTCGCTGCTTTTGGCCTCCCTGGGCCCTCGACGGGCCCTGGCACCGCAAACACAACGACGACTTGGGACGACACGCTGGCCCCGACGCCCGACGCCGTGCCCTCTTCGCAGCGCGGGCCCCCAGAGGCCCAGAACCCTCCCCTGGGACCCGCTCTCCGTTCCGAGCCGTTCTCCGACGGCCCCGGCGCCGTCCGCCGTGTCTTCTTCCCGGCTGGTCCGCGCCTGACTCTTCTGCGTGGCCGCCGTTGGCAAGCGCCCTCGCCGCCAGCCCGGCGCGCGCGCGCGCGCGAGGCGGGTGCCGCCCAGGCGGCGCTCTCCGCCCTGCAAGCTTTGACCCCCCGCCGCTGCGTGCCCTACCTCCGAGCTTCTCCAGGTGCCCCGCGGTCCAGGGGCCCTCCAACGGTGCGACACGGTCCAGGGTTTTCGGACGTCTTCGTCCGCTCGGAGGGGTTTTCCTGCCTCGGGATGCCTTCCAGCAGCTGTGCCTCGCCGAGGGCGTTCCGGGGCTTCCCGGATCGTCCCGCCATTCGGAGGAGGGCTCGTGTGGTGAACCAGCGAGGATTCGGTGCGACCGCACGGCTCTAGGACTTGGGTCGTTCTCCGAGGATGTCTCGGGCGACTGGGACCTCCGAGGTCCCAAAACGGTGCGATGACGGACCGTGCGGTGAGGTCTTCGGGGCACCCGATGTCACCGCACGGGCTGTTACCGCACCGTTTTGGGACCCCCAAGGAGATGGTTTTTCATACTGGCGCGTAACGGTCGTTACCCGGGCCAACCTCCCCAGGGTAAGTGTAACGATCGTACTGCTGGTGCTCGCGCGCACACTATGGCGATTGCAGCGCGCCCCCGCCCCGACGTGTCCCATCCCGCCCAAGCGTTACCATAGCCCGGCCCTCCCCCGCACCCCTCGCGTTAGGACCGTTTCTGGAAGTAATGACAAGGCAATCTCAAGAAATTGCGGCGGCGGCCGATGCAGATGGCCCATGCGCAACGGCGGGCCCCGCTGCCGCTGCGCCGTCGCAGTCAGCGACGGCCTGCGACCAGCGCGCCCGTCGGGGACCCCCAGTCTGCTCCTGCTGTTCTCCGCCCCCTCCCCGCTGAAGCGTCGGGTGGGCGTCACCCCCGCCGACAGCCCCTCATCGACCCCCGTCGCGGGCAGCCACCGCGCGCCGAAGGCGCTCCGACCCCGTCGCGGCGCGACGACGAGGCGAGGTTGACCCCCGTCGGGGGGTACCCACCCACGCTTCTTAAGGAACCCAGGGTATCTGCATCCGCGGCCGCGCGGGCCGGGCCCCCAGACCACAACCCCGCGGACACGGGGCGTTCGTTCGCGGACGCCCCTCGCTCGGAACGTATCCGCGCGACCGCGTATCCGCGGGATCGCGCCCCAGAGTCCAGACCGCGAGGGCGCGGGTACGGATATGCTCGCCGCTCCTGGGTTCAAGCCCCTCCTTTTGGAGATCGCGTGGCTTCCGGGCCTCACGATTTTCGTCTTCTGCCTCGCATCGACTTGCCCTCCAGGCATCTCGTTCCGCCGCTCGGCGTAGACCAATACGCGGACTCCTGACCCCTGGCCCCCACCGCGGTGGCCGTGGCCTCCGCTCCCGCGCCGCGGGCCGTGCGCGACGGCGTGCCTCCCCCCGTCGAGAGCGCCCTCCGACGCCGAGAGAGGCCGCAGGCCTGCTGCGCCGGCGGGGTCCCTGAGGGACCCCGTCGGCTGAGAGTGACTCCAGCGGGGTAGACCCGTCGGCTGAGAGTGACTCCAGCAGGAGAGTGACTCCAGCCGTCCCTGGGGCACCCTCTAGACCCAGCCTCGAGTCACTCCAGCGGAGAGAGGGACCGTCCCTCTCTCCGCCCCAGCGCGGGAACTCACGGCGATGGCGATGGCGGAGCCCGCAGTCGCGGGGCCTTGCGCTGCACCGCCGCACGCAGCCAGCGCACGCTGCTGCATCCGGGGCAGCCAGCACAGGGTCCATGTCGATCCGATCGATCCGGTTGGATGTCGATTCGGGCCGGCCCGATCCGATTCGATTCCGAGGTTCCGACGACGCGATGCGCCCCGATGCTGGCATGGCGCTGTTGTGCCTCCTGGCGCGGCGGGCCCGACTCGATGCCGACTCCGTGCCGATGCAGCCCGACTCGACGCACACTTCGATTCGACGCGATTTCCCGATCCCATGCTGACTGATCTGGCTCAAGCTTGCTCAAGGTCTAAGGCAGAGGTCACAATTGAGCCAAACTCGCTTCCCCCCCCCTCGCAGCCGCGGCTGGACGGGCTCGGAAACCTGGTTCCGTGCTTTCGTCGGCGGGTAAACCGAGGATTTTCGGGTTCCTTCCCTCGCGAGCACAGCCATGGCGCAGAACATGAGTGTCGACGACGCCGCGGGGGAGTCAGGTCTCACCCAGGCTACTGGCGCGCTGCAGCTGGCTGGAGCCCCCGTTCCACCAGGACTTGATCCGCCAGCCGCTGTTGGAGCTCTCCCCGCCGGTACGGCGCCCAACCAGCCCCCTGCTACGACCCCAACGCCAGCGGAGCTTCCAGCTGACCTCCTGCAAGAGTTGGTCGAGGAGTCCGTCAGCAAGTACAGCGAGCTCGTCAGCGCAGTGTGCGCCACCACGGCAGGGCCGAACCTGATGATCACCAGCAGCCGAATCACGTCGTGGACCTCGCTGCACGAGCTGCTGCTGCACTTGGCGTAGCTGCCCGAGGCCGCATGCCCATGGCGCCGGCTCGGTTTCGCCCCCCTCGAGGGTCCAGAGCCGACGCTGCCAGACCGGGACGCGCGCTTCCGCACTGCCCAGCTCCTATGCTCAGCCTCGCAATCCCCGGCGTGGAGCGCGGCTGACCGCTCGCAGGCGGCAGCTGCGCTGCAGGCGCTCGCCGGTGGAGTGCGCCAGTGCACCGACCTCATCCCCGAGATCATGAAGGTGCGCCGCCGGCAGCGCGCGCCCGACCTCCCCGTATGGCGGGAGCTGGGCGCCTCTGCGCTGGGGCTCCTCTGCGCCACGGCGCCGACGGCAGCGGAGCTGGTGTTCACGCAGTGGTCCACGCTCAAGCTCTCCACCGAGGCCGCGGCAGCCGCGCACCCAGGCACGCCTGCGGTCGACGCGTGTCGCCGCGCTGTGGTGTTGGCTGCTAAGGGGGACGATCGCTTCTGGCTAGAGCTGGGTGGTCGTCCGGCGGTCCTTTGGGCGCCTACGGACTCCTCCGCCCTCGGTAGGCTGCTCAAGTCATACATGAAGCGCCCGGTCGCCAACGGCGGCCCGCCGTAGCTCCGACTGTTGGTCCCACTGGAACTTTTTCCAGGGTGTCACACGGTCGCAGCGATCCAGGACTTCTGGTGGCACCCTCTCCTTGGCGAGCGGTGGGTTGGAGCTGTGAAGAAGCTGGAGTACGACATCATACCATACAGCATGGTACTTTCAGGTGCACATGGACCTCGACATGAATTGCGCGGATTGGCAATCTTCACGATAGCGCCCGAACTCCTCCACACTCCGCCGAGCGTCCTGCCGGGCGCCACGCCGGTGTTCCAGGTCGCGGCGGCGCCGGCCTACACGCTGGACTTCCCGGCCGAGGCGTTGCCGCAGGTGCTCCGCATTCTCGCGGACCCCAGCCTGCAGCTTGTGCACGCCAGTGCCCCATCACCGCAGCGTGCTCTCCAAGGCGGCGGCGAAACGGATGAGCATGGAGTGGACCTTCCCCCCGGGCACGCTTGAGCTGCAGATCGTGCTTCTGTGGCGACGCCTCCGCCGCTCCTCCCTCCCGCCGAGCGCCTTCTTCGGTCCCGTCGGCCTGCGCTCGGATGCGACGGCGCTCATCTGGGAGCTGTCTGGGGCGTCGGCGGCGATGCACGCTTGGGAGCTCAGCGCGAACATGGTGGCGCTGAAAGAGGACAAGGCAAACGGATGCCGACCCAGACGTGTGGAAGTCTCGTATGACGGCGCTGTTGCAGCAAGATCCCGAGGCCGCCATATTGGGCCTCAAGTGGCGCCCTTGCCGGGGTGACCGTCCGTGGGCCCTGCCTGGAGCCACTCAGGACGAGCTGGCCGCTGCCCGCCGGGCCAAGAGAGGCAGGATTGGGAGGGCCGTCCCTGTCTCCAACATGACAGACGTGCAGGTGTGCGGATCTCCAGGGTATGACGCTCTCGGAGTCTACCGCCAGCTGATGACGCACATTGAGCAGGTGGCATGGATCCACCTGAGGGAGGCTATCAGTGATGCGCCCGCTGGCTGTGGATACTGGCGCTGGCTGGCGGCAGCGGGCCCAGTGGCGCCGCCAGGGCGTCTTCGCCTCCACCTCAGTTCAGAAGAGGAGGTCACTGCCGTCCGGGAGGCGCACCACGGAAAGACTATCCAGGTCGGTCTGGACCGCATCGCCCTGCAGGTCACGATCGACGCGTAGGACCTGCCGGGACACGGGCGGCGGAGGCGGGGGGCCCAGGAGCCCGCCTCCGCGGGGCACTAGATCGGGGCCCTCGCCGTGCTGCAGGAGCGGGCAGCACGGGAACTCAGGCGATCTCACGCCTGGGACGCACGTCGTTCTTGATCGACCTTGTCTTCGAGATCTGGACCGTTTCGTCGGGTTCGGGCTCACTCAGCAACGCCGGTCCAGGACTTGTACTTCCTCTTCCTCTTCTTCTTCTCCACCTTCGTGATGCAGATCGCGACGCTGATCGCCGCAGTGGGGCTCTCGACGATGTGCCGCACTCACTCCGCGCCAGGGCGCAGTTACGAGCAGCGCTGGGATTCTCGCTTCCCCAGGCCCCCATGGCCACAGCGCCGGCGCTGCCTCCCCCAGAGCGCGCGCCGCCGCCAGCAGCAGCAGCGGCGCCGTTCGTGGGTGGCCAGTACCGTGGATCGCTCACCGTGGCCACATGGAATGCTCAGGCATTATTTGCCTCAGACCTTCAGCGGCTTTGGCGGAAAACGCAGTACGTTCGGCGCCTCGCTCAGGCCCGCGACGCCGTGCTCCTGACTGAGACGCACCGTGTCCCAGGCGCTCCGGAAGCTTGGCGCGGGCCGCAAGCGTGCTTGGGTTGGTGGTCCCATGGCGCGGCGGCGCGGGCAGGGGTGGGCGTGCTGCTCCAGGAGCGGTCCGCCAGCCAGTTCCCCGAACGAGAGTGGGTAGAAATCGACCCCGGTCGCGCGGCGGTGCTGCGGCTCGGCGGGCCCCAGGGGCATTTGGACTTCGCGGTGGCTTACTTCCCTGCGGGTGCGAGCCATGCCTTGCGCCCCCGGGGGAGCGGCCCCAGCGCCCCTTCGCAGGCTGTCTCTGTTGTAAAGGTGGCTGAGAGTATTTCGCGCGAGCTGCAGACAGGGCATCCCGCTGAGACAACAGAGGACAGGGTTGGCCTCGCCATGCAGTTTCTCAGGGCAGTCGAAGGCGGACATGTGGGGCGCATCGGCAAGTGCATGCCCGTATGCACCAGAGCTGAGACAGGCGGGGCGTTTGCAGGCAGTGCGCAGCCATGCCGTCGAGCTTGCTCGGGAGCGCGCGGTGGATGAGCTCCGACGCTTCAGCGACGATCTCCCCGCGCTGGGCGCCCGGGAATCGGCTGTGCGGCGGGGCCGCAACTGGCGCCTCATATCGAGGCTCGCTCCTGGGCCCGGCTGCCATGGCCCGGGTGCTCCGCGACCGCTGGGGCGAGGTGTTCAGGGCGAGGCCGCTCAGCAGGTCTCTGCGCGGACGCTGGCTCGGTGAAGAGCGGCGCGCGCGCGCAGCGCGCGGGGGTTCGCGACTCCCGGCGGCCGACGACCCGAGGTGGCAGCTGCGACCGTGCGACGTGCAAGCCGCCCTCGAGCCAGCCCCCTCAAGGGCGGCCCGGGCGGCCTGCCCTTCGTGGCCTGGAAACGCCTCGGCCCCCTCGCGGTCGACGTTCTCTTCGCGGTGCACGAGCAGCTATCTGGCCCCGACGCGGAGGAAGCAATCCAGCGCGATCACCCCGGGTACAACGACAGCCTACCTCCGGGAGCGACGACGGCACCCCGCAAATTTGCGCCGTCCGACACTCGCCCGTTGAGCCTGATGAGCGCGGACAACAAGCTCTTGGCCAGCGCGGCGCGGCACCGACTCGAGCCATTGCTCGCTGAAGACATCTCAGCGGAGCAGCGAGGTTTCCTGGGCGGGCGGTCTATATTGGCCGGCATAATCGACGCGGATGAAGCGATGCAGACGACGGCGCTCGCTTGCGAGGATGTGGCGGCGATCTTATCTGATTTCGTCGCCGCCTTCTCGAGCGTGGGCCAGGACTTCCTGCTGGATGTGCTCTCGGATTCAGGGATCCCGGCGCGCCCGCTGCAACATCTGAGGTCGCTCTACTTCTACAATCGCTGCAAGTTGGTCATCGGGGGCGGCGAACGCGAAGGATTCCCAGTGACAGCTGGGATTCGCCAGGGCTGCCCACTCTCCCCTTTGCTCTTTGCACTCGCTGCTGATCTGCTCCTTCGGCGTCTCGGCCAGGCTCTCCCCGATGCTGTCCGCCGAGCGCGTGCCGACGATTTGGCCGTGGTGACCAGGGAGGGGGCCGAGGCGGCGGCCACGCTGGGGCCCATGTTCGACGAGTGCGCCGCCCTGTCTGGGCTCCGCCTGGACGTTGGCAAGACGTCTTGCTCCCGCTTCGGCTCGGAGACCCTGAAGACGCGCGCCAGCAGGTGACCGCCCGCGCGCCGTCTTGGGGCGGGCTGCGATTCGCCCACCAGGCCAAGTACCTCGGCTTCCTCCTTGGCCCCGAGCGAGGGGAACAAGGCCGGGGCGCTGCCGGCGCCAAAAAACCTCCGCAGAGCCCGCGAGTGGGGCCGCTCAGTGGGCGGCATGTTCGCCAACGCGATTGGATATTCAATGTGCGCCTTCTGCGCGATGAGCCTCCTCGCGCAGCTGGGCGCACCGCCTTCGAGCTGGGGGCAGCTGGAGAGCGCTGCGCTGCAATCCCTCTACGTCGGGTCCAACCGGTGGGCGCCTGCAGCCGCCTTGCATGGCCTCCCTCTCATGGGCTTTCCCGCGCGCCTTCCTGACCTGCCCGCGACAGCGCTGGCGGCCAAGTACTAGGTGTGCCAATGGGAGGCGGCGACGGAGGGGGGCTTGCGCGCGGCCGCCAGGGCAGCGGGGCTGCGCGCGACGCGGCTGCACAGCACGGCGTCTCTCGCGCGCCTGGGGCGCTGGGGTAATTGGTTCGACAGCTCATTCCTCTCGCAGCTGGACGCGGCCCAGAGCTACTTCCAGCAGCGCGCGATGGGCCCGCGCCAAGTGGCACTGGCAGCGGGCACGTTCGACCCGAGAAGGCGTGGCAGCGCGCGTGCGCGCGCGAGATCGAGCCCGACAGGGCCGCGCCCTTGGCGCGCTTCCTGCGGCATCGGCTGTCGCGCTGGTCCTGTGGCCTGTCAGGGGGAGAGATGACCGCTCATGCCCTGCGCGCGCACTCCGCCGCGGCGAGGCGAGTGCCCCCGCGGGCGCTGGCTGCGTGCCCGCGGACGCTCTGGAACGGATGGGTCACCGCCCGGCGGTTGCAGCAGCGCGCGGGCTGCTACTTCGGGTGCGCGGACGGCGAGGACTCCGTGGGGCATTGCGCCGACTGCCCCTGCGTCGCCGCGGCAGCGGCCGACCTGCTGGGGTTGCGGCCAGCTTCGCGGGAGGCGCGGCTCGCCGGGCTCCTGCTCCTGGCGCCGCCCCACAGCGATCAGGCGGCTCCTGAGTTGCGGCGTCGGGCGCTTCTGACGGCCAGTGTGTGCCTGACCACTGTCGATGCAGGCGCGTCGCGGGCCGCGGCCCCGCTGTCTGCGCGAGCGCGCTGCGGGTGACGATCCGCCAGTTTCTTTAGCGTCCTCGCCGCCTTTGCATCTTGCTATTTTGCCCGCCTTCGGTCGTCTCCTCCTTCTCCTCCTCCTGCCCAGCCTCTCGGTCTCGTGCCGCGCGGGCATGGCCCTGGAATGGCGGCGCGCTCGGCACTTCTATCTGGTCGTCGTCGTGGGGGTCGTCGTCGTCTCCGCCGTCGGCGTCGTTTTGTGCCGTGTCTGAGGCCGTGCCCGACGACCGCCTGACACCCGGAAGTCAGGTCTTTTGCGGATGCCGTGGGAGAGCAGCGTAGCGGTTCCATATGGCATTTGCTTCCGAGTCATGGTTGAGTGCCACAGTTGCGACCACGCGTTATTCTTCTTCCGCCCCCCTCGCCTCTCAGTCCGCCCGCGTCTTCTAAATCGCATGAACCTGGTCTATGCCCGAGTGTCCCCTTCGGATTGGTCATAGATCGGTCCTGGAGGTGAGGGGATCACGGCTTACCGACCTCATCGGCGCGCCTAGGGCGCGCTTGGGGGCCACATGTGTCACTAAATTAGCGCCGTCGGTGTTGCTTGCAGGCCCGGGCCAGCTCGTGCGTTTGGCCGCCCAGTCCAGAGGGCCGTTCATTTTGTAGTGAGCCGTCTCTGGCGCTCGTAGCCCTTGCAGCTGGCTCGGGGTGGCTCGGCGTCGCGCCGAGTCGCATACAGCGCCGCACTTTGAGAACTGGTGCAATGTCCTAGCCCAGCCAGTCCAGGCGACTTCCGAGTGTGAGCATCGCCAGCATGGGAGCCTGCTGATCTACGCACTCTGCTCGTCTTCCCGGTGCGGGAATCCTTGATCTGTACTGCTTTGTCTAGCTCCCTCTCCTCTCCTTCCTCTCTTCCTTTCTTTCGCCTCTTCCTCCTCCTCCTGCTCATCTTCCCTGACTGTGGCGACGTTTACCTGGCCGGCCACTGTAGCGCGCTGTCGCTTTCGTGCCCTAGAGTGTTTCCGATGGATGCGGTTATAGCCCCCGCGAGGGGAAGCGGATCTGAAGGTGACACTGCAATTCGAGGAGACAAGTGGTACGTTGATCATCGGCTGTCCGCGTAACAAAAAAAACAACAACAAAAAACGGCGTGAAGACGTTCGCGCTCTGCGCGTCGCGGCCTGGGCCAGAGCGGCTGCCCTTCTCCAGGTGCGGGCGGCGCGGAGGCGCCAAGGCGCGAAGCTAGCCGTGTGTCGCGCACCGCGGGGCGCGATGCGCGCGAGGTCCGGGGAAATTCACACACAGGAGTCATCCGATGCTGATCGATACCGCCAGCATCCAGGCCATTCGGGGTCTGCGCCGCGTGCTCCACGACCCTGGCCCTCGCGCGGCCCCCGGGCTCCGCGCCCGCGGGCACGAGCGTTGGAACCCACCCGCCAGGGGGCCCCTTTCGCGGAAGGCCCTTCCCGTCCCGCAGCCGCCGTCAGCCTGGCCATCGCGCCCTCCCTGGCCTGCGCGCCGCTCCGGCCAGTCCCGCGCCCGCCTTGGCCGCCGCGCGCCGCTCGCCGCTCCAGTCGGGGCGGCGCGAGCCGAAGCGGGCACGGAGGGGGAGGGAAGGGAGGGGAGGGGAGGGAGGGGAGGGAAGGAGGGAGGGATGGAACGAGCGAGGGGAGGGAGGGAGGGAGGGAGGACGGATCCATCAGGCCGAGGGGTCCCCACCGCCGCTCCACCGCCGAAGCGGCCGCTGCCCTCGACCGAAGGACCGCCGCCGAAGCTTGCCGAGAGTCCGGGGCCGCCGAGGCCTCGGGCCGTCGATGGCCTGGGGCCGCCGAGAGCCCTCGACCGAGGGCCCGCCGCCGAAGCTCGCCGAGAGCCCGGGGCCGCCGAGGGGCTGCCGAGGGCCCGCCCGCTCCGCGCGGCAAGCGCCGGGAGGCAAGCCCTTCCGCTGCGGGGCCTGGTGGCGCAGTGGCGCGAGGCGGGCGCGCCCGGGGGCGAGGACCGTGCGCCCGCTGGCGCCGCCCGCGGGCGCCGTGGGCCGGGGCCCGCGGGTGGGTGCGGCCCGCTCTCCAGGCTGGGTCCGCCTCGGAGTTCTGGCCAGAAGGGCGCACCCCAGCTCTTGGGAGGGGAGGGGGAGGGGGTAGGGCTTTGTCTTGGGCGGGGGGCGGGGGCCGACACCCAGCGTCACGAGCAGGTCGTGACGGCAGTGCTTCTCCTGCGTGGGGCCCTTGGGCGGCAGTTTCGTGCCCTGGGGCAGTCAAACAGCGGTCCAGGGTGAAGGAACTATTTTTGGGGGGTGTCGAGGACGGCTATTTCACGAACGGCCGTTTCACGAGCGAGCCATGACGTCGGACGCCGCTTGGCCGCTTGGGCAGGGGTCCCAGAGTGACTGCGGCAGGCCAGGCTGGCCACAACTGGGGAAGCCGTGCTCGTTATTGTATCCCCCTGGGGTCCCGTCGGCTTGACCAGTCTTCACCGATCGTGACACACGCGCCCGCTGCGGAGGCGCCTTCTTGGGACAGACCTCGACTCGCCCAGCCAGCGCAGGGTAGCCTCTGGCTAATGGCCAAGGGGGCGTGGGTTGACTCCCCATGGATTCGTTGACGCTGGGATCACTTCGCCTGGTACTATAGTAACAATGGATGGGGCGAGCTCGCCCAGAACTGGTCCCGCATCAGGTCGTGATCGACTTCCTGTGCTCCCTAGCAATGCCCTAGCAATGCCCTATAACCCCTATAACCCCTTATAACCCCTATAACCCCTATAACCCTATAACCCCTATAACCCCTATAACCCCTATAACCCCTATAACCCCTATAACCCCTATAACCCCCATAACCCCTATTACCCTATAAACCCCTATAACCCCTATAACCCCTATAACCCCTATAACCCCTATAACCCCTATAACCCCTATAACCCCTATAACCCCTATAACCCCTATAACCCCTATAACCCCTTATAACCCCTATAACCCCTATAACCCTATAACCCCTATAACCCCTATAACCCCTATAACCCCTATAACCCTATAACCCCTATAACCCCTATAACCCCTATAACCCCTATAACCCCTATAACCCCTATAACCCCTATAACCCCTATAACCCCTATAACCCTATAACCCCTATAAAGCCTAATATCCCTATAACCCTATACCCTAGAACCCCTAGAACCCCTAGAACCCCTATAACCCCTATAACCCCTATATCCCCTATATCTCCTATAACCCCTATATCCCCTATAACCCCTATAACCCCTATAACCCCTATAACCCTTATAATCCCTAGAACCCCTAGAACCCCTATAACCCCTATAACCCCTATAACCCCTATAACCCCTATAACCCCTATAACTCCTATAACCCCTATAACCCCTATAACCCCTATAACCCCTATAACCCCTATAATCCCTATAACCCCTATAACCCCTATAACCACTATAACCCCTATAACCCTTATAACCCCTATAACCCCATACCCCTATAACCCCTATAACCCCTATAACCCCTTAACCCTATAACCCCTACAACCCCTACAACCCCTATATCCCCCTAATAACCCTAATAACCCCCTATAACCCCTATAACCCGCTATAGACCCCTATAAACCCTATAACCCCTATACCTCTATACCCCTATAACCCCTATAACCCCTTCGATACCCATTCTACCCGGCCTAACCCCGTCTAACCCCTTCGAACCCATTCTAACCCATTCTAACCCTGTATAACCCCTATAACCCCTATAACCCCGATAACCCCTATAACCCCTATAACCCCTATAACCCCTATAATCCCTATAACCCCTATACCCCTATAACCCCTATAACCCCTATAACCCCTTTATAACCCCTATAACCCCTATAACCCCTAGCTGTCCTGTGACCCCCTATAACCCACCTGACCCCATATAAACCCTATAACCCCTATACCCCTATAACCCCTATAACCCCTATAACCCCTATAACCCCTATAACCAGTATAACCCATATAACTCCTATAATCCCCTAAATCCCCTATAACCCCTATCCCCTATAGGCCCTTATAACCCCTATAACACTATACCCCTATAACCCCTAAAAACCCTATAAACCCTCTAAACCCTAATAACCCCTATAGCCCCTATAACCCCTATAACCCCTATAACCCCTATAACCCCTATAACCCCTATAACCCCTTCTAACCCCTTCTAACCCCTTCTAACCCCGTTTAACCCCTTATAACCCCTTCTAACCCCTTCTAACCCCTTATAACCCCTTATAACACCTTATAACCCCTTATGACCCCTTATGACCCCTTATAACCACTATAACCCCTTATAACCCTATAACCCCTATAACCCCATATAACCCCATATATCCCCTATAACACCTATAACCTCTATAACCCCTATAACCCCTATAACCCATATAACCCCTATAACCCCTATAACCCCTATAACCCCTATAACCCCTGTAACCCCTGTAACCCCTATAACCCCTATAACCCCATATAACCCCTATAACCCCTATAACCCCTATAACCCCTATGACCCCTATAACCCGTATAACCCCTATAGCCCCTTATAACCCCTTATAACCCCATAACCCCTATAACCCCTATAACCCCTATAACCCCTATAACCCCTATAACCCCTATGACCCCTATAACCCCTATGACCCTTATAACCCCTTATAACCCCTTATAACCCCTATAACCCATATACCCCCTATAAAACCCTATAACCCCTATAACCCCTATAACCCCTATAACCACTATAATCCCTATAACCCCTACAACCCCTATAACCCCTTATAACCCCTTATAACCCCTATAACCCATATAAGCCACCTAACCCCTATAACCCCTATAACCCCTATAACCCTGTAACCCTTACAACCCCTATAACCCCTATAACCCATAGAAACCCCTGTACCCCTTATAACCAAATATAACCCCTATAACCCGTATAACCCTATAACCCGATAACCCCTATAACCCTTATAACCCCTATAACCTCCAGAACCCCTATAACCCCATATAACCCTTGTAACCCCTATAGTATCCATAAACCCTATAACCCCATATAACCCTTATAACCCCTTATAACCCCTATAACCCTATAACCATATAACCCCATATAACCCTATAACCCTTATAACCCTATAACCCTTATAATCCGTATGACCCCATATAACCCCTATAAACCATATAACCCTTATAACCCCTATAACCCCTATAACCCTATGACCCCATATAACCCTATAACCCTTATAACCTTATAACCCCTATAACCCCTACAACCCCTTATAACCCTTATAACCCTATAACCCTATAACACGTATAACCTTTTTATAACCCCTTATAACCCCTTATAACCCCTTATAACCCTTATATCACCTATAAACCCTATAACCCCATATAACCCTATAACCTCTATAACCCTATAACCCCTATAACCCCTCATAACCC